TGCTCCTCAGGGACCCCTGGTCCTGTGGCACAGAATTGTCAGGACGTTCCTGAAAACCCCAGGGCCTGCAGAGTGTTCTGGAAAGGGATAAAAGCAAACTGACCCTAAGAGGGGCTCAGAAACCCCCCCAGACTCTGGCAAGTTAAAGTCAGGGGCCTCTGTACCTGGGACCCACCGTAAATAAGGCAGGAAGCTCTGGGCTGGCTGCACAACCCTACAGGATAAACCCCTCTGGAGCTCCCCAGGCTGGGAAGCAGCTTTCAGACCCTCTGCACCCTCCCAGGTGTACTGTGACCAACAGCACAGTGGGGTCCAAAGGTCTGAGCCCTGGTGCAGTGTCCGGGTCACCTGATGATTGGATGCCACCAGATGGGACCCCCCGAGTCCCTGCCCCACCCAGGGATAGTGGAGCAGGAACGGGCCCTTCTCCCTTCCAGACAGTGGAGAGGCAGAACTTGCCCCCAGGAGAAAATCCTCCCTGCCTGGCCTCCCATACACTTGAACCCTGGATGGAAACCACAGCCTGAACCTTTAGACCTGTAATCTCACTGATGAGATCCCCGAGCTCCTCAGACAAGAGCCCCAGCCCAGGCAGAGGCACTCAAGGTGTTCCCTTGCCCGGGACAGTGAAGTTCAGGAAAGGAGGAGCTGAAGGCAGAACAGACCAGGTGAGCTCTCCTGTCCTGCCAGCAGCATTTCCTCCTGGAGCTCTGCTGTGGCACACACTGGACCTTCCCAGGGTCCCTGACTGCACACTGGCAGTGGGAGAAGGTGACATCAAGCAGAGGGACAACCCCAGAGGGGCTGGCAGAGGGGCAGGACAAACACTGGGACAAAAGGTCTCTGAAGCTGCCTCACAGCAGGGGATTCCTGATGGAAACAGCCTCACAGAGCTGGTGAAGGAAGCACAGCCATGTCCTGGGCAAGAGATGCACGGAATCATTTAATCGAGAGGGTTGGAAAAGCCCTCTGAGCCCATCAAGTCCAACCATTCTCCCAGCACAGCCAAAGCCACCACTGATCACGTCCCCAGGTGCCACACCACAGGGATGTTAAACCCCCCAGGAGTGAGTACTCCACCCCTGTTCCAGAGCCAGACAGCCATTTCCAGGAGGAATTTTCCCAACCTGAACCTCCCCTGGCAAAACTAGGGACCCTTGTTCTGTCCCTTGTTCCCTGGGAACAGAGCCCGACCCCCCCCAGCTCCCCCTTCCTGTCAGGGAGCTGCAGAGCCAGAAGGTCCCCCCTGAGCCTCCTTTTCTCCAGGCTGAGACCCCCAGCTCCCTCAGCTGCTCCTGCTGCTCCAGTCCCTTCCCCAGCTCTGTTCCCTTCCCTGGACACACTCCAGCCCCTCAGTGTCCTGTACCTGGGGATCCCACACCTGCCCCCAGGACTGGAGGTGCCCCAGCAGTGCCAGCACAGGGGACAGGCACTGCCCTGGGCCTGTGACCACACTATGCCTGTTACAAACCAGGAGCCATTGCCCACCTGGGCACACCTGGACACACCTGGGCACACTGGCAGGGCTGTGCTGTCAGGCCCTGGCCCCAGGCAGGCAGAGCCCTGGGCTCCTGGTGCAGGCTTGGAGCGGCCTGTGTGTGCCACGTTCCCAGGACAGCAGCCACGGGGCAGGGTTTGAGCACAGGGCAGGCTGTCCACACTTCCCAGCCCTTTGCTCCATGTCAGAATTCCCAGCTGGAGCCCTGGGGAGCAGCTGGGGCCAGGAGCTCACGCTCAGCACGAGAGCACCAAGGCCAGCAGGACAAAGCCTGTTTCTCCTCCCTGTGGATGGTGTGACCGCTGGGATAACCAAGGAGGAAGGACTGTGGGACTCCTGCCTGGGAAGGGACAGACAGGACAGGTGTCACTGCTGTGTTTGCAGCAAAGGAAAGCCATGGAGGGGACACTGAGGATGAGGGACATTGGGACATTGGCTGCCCAGGGATGACAGGCAGTGACAACACAGGAGATGGTCACTGCTGTGGGAACAGCCACCGTCCCTGCTGTCCAAAGAAGCCAAGGGTATCCCATTCCAGGAGTGCTGCACTCAGGGTGGCTGAGTTTGGACAGATCCAGGGCTCAGGCAGCTCCTGCTGCTGGATGGGATTTATGTGCCCCAGAGGACCTTGAAGATTCCTGTCAGAGCTGCCGAGAAGGGCCCAACCAGGGACACGGGGAGCTCCAGCCGAGGACACGTCCAGCATGTGGGTGACAACAGCAGAGATCCACAGAGAGCCTGTGAACACCAAGCGCTCCCTCCCCAGAAACCTGGGAGCAGGGATGGCATGGGAGCAGCTCCTCAGCTGGGATCTGAGCCCCCATATCCCTGTATCCTGTTCTGGCATGTCAGCAGTGACAGATCCCAAGAGGAAGAGCAGGGACAGAGCCGTGTTCCACCAGCTGCAGCTCCTGGCAATCCACAGCTCAGGGCCTCGGGAGCCAGAGGCTGCATCTGCCTCTCTGTTTAATAGCCCTCAATCAATTTTTCTCCCACAAATTTGCCTAATGGCTTTTAAAATCCCTTTAAAATCTACTTGGGGCTGCTGCAAGTGCCCCGTGGCAACAAATTCCGCTGCGTATCACCCAGGAACACTCACCCCAAGGAATACACAGTGAGAGATTTCCCCCATCCGTGTATTTTACAGCTCTGTGGGGCATCCTGAGGGCATCCCAGCTGCTGCTCCGTGTGGGATGCCAGGCCTGGAATGAGCAGGCAGGACAGATGTGCTCTGCTGTATCTTACCAGTAAAGGCAAAGGGAGCTGTAGAAGGGAGGTGAGGTGTGGGATGGTGAGGAGCTGCTCCCACGTGCTGTCCCCATGCCGTTCCTGCTCTGTCCCTGCCTGTCCCCGGCTCAGGTGTTCCCTGAGCTGAGAAACTGGTTTCACTTGAAACCTCGTCCACACCTCTACCACCCCTCCCTGTGCCACCAGAGCCAGCGCTGGAGCTGAACCGCCCCAGACACCTCGGGGTCATCAGCAAACACCAACAACTCATTGTTCATCCCATTTCTGGGGAGTTTGGACATGATGAAAAGCAGAGCTGGGTGTGAGTCGGCCCCAGACACCACAGGATATGCTCTTGCATCCCTCTGGACCTTGTGGGGACACCTCAGCCTGGCACTTTGTCCCATTCATGTCACTGATCTGTTCTCTTGTCTGGTCTTTGTCATCCTGGAGAAGGGAGGCTCCTTAGGGACACCTTAGAACCCCTTCCAGTGCCTAAAGGGGCTCCAAGAGAGCTGGAGAGGGACTGGGGACAAAGCATGGAGGGACAGGACACAGGGAATGGCTTCCCACTGCCAGAGGGCAGTTAGATGGGATATTGGGAAGGAATTCTTCCCTGTGAGCTGGCGAGGCAGCTGTGGCTGCCTCACCACTGGAAGCGCTCAAATCCAGGTGGGACGGGGCTTGGAGCAAGCTGGGATAGTGGAAGGTGTCCCTGCCTATGGTAGGGGTGGGACTGGATAAGCCAAGGTCCCAATCCTGGGATTCGATGATTCAATGATTCTTTTGTCACTTTGTTTTGAGGCAATTTCCCTGACTGTCCTCCTGTGTCACAGAGCCACAGGGAACTGGACTTGGCCAAGGATGAAAAGTGGTCAAGGGAGAGCCATGGGGGCCTCTGGAGCTGCAGCAGATGGGAAAGGTGCCTGGGTGTAGTGAGTGGTTTATGTTGGGTTCCAACCCTTTTATTCCTTGTCCTTTAAAGTTCCCAGACGAACTTCTGCCTTCACTTTGATAAGAACCAGGGATTGGCTTCCCTTCCAGCCCTGTCTGGCACACACAGGACAAGGTCACCTACTGTGGGAGCTTGTGGCACCTGGCACAGACACGGAGCTGGGGAGGGGGTCCCTGGAGGTGGCCGTGGCTCAGGGGGTGATGATGGGGTCTGACAAGGCCAGATCACACTGCCACACTGTGACACTGCCCCACTGAGGGCCGACAGCAGGTGGGCTCCGACACGGGAACAGTCCTGTCAGAGTGCCCAGGGCAGTGCCACGGGGCTGCAGCCCGGCAGGACCTGCTGGTGGCCCACACCAGGAACTGCCTCTTGCTCCCTTCTCCCGTGTCAGGGTGAGATGCTGTGCAGGATACCTGGTGTGCACCGTCCGTGTCACCTCGCCCAGAACCGCCCTCGCTGCGGTTCCCGCGGTCAACCACAGCAGCCAAAGGAGCCAAGGGCTGGAGGAGGTGGACGGCGCCCAAACTCAGCCAGGCGCCGGTGTGGAGGGAGGGTGGGACGAGGAATGGTCGGGATAAAGTAACCGGAGACGGCCAGAAAGAGGGGAAAAACATCCAATGAGCCAGAGACTTGCCAGGGGAATGAAAACATCCGTCGGGCGCTGGGTGGGGGCTGGTGCGGCCGTTTCGGGGTGCCCGGGGCCCAGTGAGGGGGGTCCCGCGGGGGTGCAGCCCCCGGTGCCCCGCGCGGAGCAGCGGCTGCTCGGGAAGATGCCGCGGTGGCCGCGTCCAGGGACGGGAGCGGGAAGATCCCAGGACGAGGCTGGAGGGGCGGGAGCGGGAAGACCCCGGGACGAGGGCTGAGAGGGCAGCGAGCAGGGGAGGCTCCGTGACGAGGGGCCACGGGGTGGGACACGCCCGGGAACGGGGCCCGGAGAGGTGGGACGAGCCCTGGGGCCCCGGGCAGGGGTAGCGGGTGGGGGCGGGAGGCCGGCGGTGCCCGGGCCGGGAGGGAACGCACGACACGGACACACCCGGGGGCCTCGACGGCGGAGCAGGGCGGCCGGTGAGGGCCGAGCCCGGCGGCGCACCGCGGGCCGGGGGTGCGGGGGCGCAGGGGCTGCAGGGAGTGCGAGGGCGCCGGGGTGCCGGGGGTGCCGGGGGTGCGGGGACTCCTCCCGACGGGGCGGGGCGTGCGCGGCCGCACGTCCGGAGCGGGGCGGGGCGGGACGAGAGCGGGCCGGCCCCGCGCGGCGCGGGCAGAGCGCGGCGGGTTCGGTGCGGGTCTGGGGCGGGTCGGTCGGGGCGGTGCGTGCGGTGCTGTGCCGCCGGCAGCCGGGAGGAGAGGCTCCGCTCCCTTCCCGTCGGCTCGCCTCGCCTCCGGTCGATTCGGCGCTCATCGGCTCGGCTCGACGTGGATCAGAGCGGCTCGGCTCGGCTCAGCTCGGACAGGATCGGATCGGACCAGACCGGAGCGGCGAGGCGAGGCTCAACTCAGCTCAGCTCAGCTCGGCTCAGCTCACCGAGACACAGCACAGCTCAGCGAGCCTCAGCACAGCTCGGCTCAGCGAGGCTCGCGGCGGGGATGGCGGTGCCGGAGCCGGACGCGCGGCTGGCGCAGGAGAAGGAGGAGGAGAGCGAGGAGGAGAGCGAGGTGCTGGAGGAGAGTCCCTGCGGTCGCTGGCAGAAGCGCCGCGAGCAGGTGGGAGCCGGGCGCGGAGGGACGGGAATGCTGGGGACGGGAATGCCGGGGATGTGGATGCCGGGGGATGGGAACGCTGGGGGATGGGGCCCAGCGCGGCCGCAGCCCCGGGCACGTTCAGCGCGGAGGGACCCGGTCGGAGCCCGCAGATGCCCAGAGCAGGGCGATGGCGGCGGCCGGAGGGCGATGCCGAGAGCGGCTGCGGGGGGAGCCCGGGGCCGGGTGTGCCGGTGCGGGAGCCGCGCTCGCCGTGCCCTGGTGCGGGGAGCCCCGGTGCGGGGAGCCCCGGTGCGGGGAGCCGGGCTCATCGTGCGCTGGTGAAGGGAGCCAGGCTCGCCATGCCCCGGCGCGGGATGTGCCGGCGCGGGGTGCCTAGTGCGGGAACCAGGCTCGCCGTGCCCTGGTGCTGGAAGCCCGGGTGTGGGGATCCAGGTGCGGAGAGCTGGGTGGGCTCCGTAGCAGGGGCCCAGGAAATGGGCTCACCATGCTCCGGTGTGGGAAGCCCTGGTGCAGGAAGCCAGGTGTGCAGATCTGCGCTCTGTTGCAGGGACCTGGGAGCTGGGCTCCCTCCCCGTGCCCTGCTGCAGGAAACCCTGGTGTGGGGAGCTGGGCTGTGCCCCGAGGGAGCAGGGCAGTCCCAGGCACATCCCACACCTGAGGGCTCTGGTGCCCGTGGGACCAGCCGTGCTGGGCTGTCCAGAGCTGTCCCGAGGGGCTCCCAGAGCCAGTGCTGAGCCCGGGCCCGGGGGGTTTGTCTGGGCTGGGTCCTGGAGCTGTGCCTGGTGGCAGTGGTGCAGGTCACAGGATGGTGACCCTGGGCATCTCCTGTGGGGACAAGGACTTGCCAGGTCAATGGTGTGGTGACAGGGCTGGTCCCCACAGCCCCCCAGGGCTGGAGAACACGGGTACACCAGAGGTTACTGCTTTCCAGAGAGGGGGTTGGTTAACTTCAGCTCATCTTCCAGGGCCAGGGCTCAGCGTCAGGAGAGCCTGAAAATGGATCCGAGTCTCCCTGTCTGTCAGGACACCTAGGAATGGGGACCAGAGTCAGTGGGTGAATCCTGACCCCAGGCAGGGGTGGGACAGGCAGAGGTCACAGGCACTGTGGGCTCCTGAAGGGGAAAAGACCCATTCAAGGCCAATCTGTTTGTCTTCCATTATCTCCCCCTCCCCCTTAAGGACCTGATCTCCAGCACTCGGCTCTGCCTCTGGCTGTACTTCCCAGGCTGAATTCCCAGTCTGGGCTTTGCCAAGAATGTGATAACCTGCTCCTGTCAGTGCCATCAGCACCTGCCCTTCTGGCCCTCAGTGCTACCAGGTGCTTCCACACCCACACATCCTCCTTCCATCCCTGCTTCTGCTCCCTCTTCCCCTCTGACAGACACCTGACCTACACCAGGGTGCACCTGCCTAACCCTGACCCTCATTATAAGGATATTGAGGGGCTGGAGCCTGTCCAGAGAAGGGAATAGAGCTGTGGAAAAGTCTGGAGCACCACGAACAGCTGAGGAAGCTCAGCCTGGAGAAGAGGAGGCTCAGGGGTGACCTTCTTGCTCTCTGCAACTCCCTGACAGGAGGGGGGAACCAGGTGGGGATCAGGCTCTGCTCCCAGGGAACAAGGAACAGGACAAGGGCCTCAAGTTGTGCCAGGAGAGGGTCAGGTTGGATATTGGAAAAACTCCTCACATCTGTTCTGCCCAAATGCTGCTGTTTAACGATGAGGATTTTAACACTAATTTAGCACAGGAGCTTTCTGGAGTGGTGCTGCTGTGGCTGGAACTGGCCTCAGGTGTTCAACCCCCTGTGCAGGCGTGGGAGAAGTGAAAGCCCCCCAGTGTCATCTCCACACAGGTGCTTTGGTAGCTGTGCTGTGTCCTCCGTCCACGAGGACTTTTCTGCTGGAGCAGTGGGAAGGGGGTTGGCCTTTCCAAGGCCAGAACAGCTGTTCCAGGACAGCCAGAGAGGCAGGAAGGCTCCTTGATTGCAGAGTGGAGGAAGTTTTATGTAGAAGAGCTGTGTTTGTGTGAATTCACAGCTGCCTCATGACGTGCAGGAAGGGACTGAGCGAGAGCAGCCGCGCTGTCGGTCCCGTCTCCTCTCAGGAGCTGCTCAGCACAGGCTCCAAGTGCCCTGAGCGCTCCTGGGATTTGCACCAACAGGGATCTTCCTCACTGTCCTCAAGATTTGTTATAATTGTTTATTCTCCCTAGTTTGGTTTTGGCAGGAAAGCTGAGCCCTGTGCGGGACCCGCAGGGCTGAGCCTGATCTCAGGTTTGGAGAATGGGCCTGCTGAGGTGGGAGTGCCCTGATGGGCAAAGTGAGCCTGGCACACCCTTGGAGTGGTGTTGGGAGCCTGGAGAGCTGACAGGACACAGGCAGGTCCCCCCTTGACCTGGGGGGCTCAGCAGGGTCTCAGCCTGGAGAAAAGAGGGCTCAGAGGGGACCTCCTCAGTACCTGCAACTCCCTGACAGGAGGTGACACCGGAGCAGGGTCAGGCTCTGCTCCCGGGGAACAAGGGACAGGACGAAGGGAAGCAGCCTCAAGTTGTGCCAGGTGAGGTTTAGGTGGGATATTGGGAAAATTCCTTCCTGGCAAGGGCTGCCCTGCAGGGATTTAACAGCCATGTGGACGTGGCACTTGGGGACAGGGGCAGGGTGGCCTTGGCTGTGCTGAGGGAGCGATTGGACGCTGTGGCCTCAGAGGGCTTTTCCAAGCCAAACCATTCCACGATTCCATGACTCCACAGGCTGGAAGAGAAGCAGGGTGAGATTCACTGGCACGTACATTGGCATTAATGATGAGCACACGGGACTGGCCCCTGTTTGCTCACAGGACCGTGCGGGTGTTCCCGCACCACATGTCAGGTACAGGTGAGACCCAAGCGCTGTGCTGGGCCTGCCCCTGCCCCCCGAGGAATAAATCCCTTCCTTCCACAGCCTCCTTTGCCTGTTTATGCTCACCCATTCCCCAGGGACCCGCAGTCACAGGTTGCCACGAGCAGTTCAGGAAATAGAAGCACTTACAGGAGGTGTGAGGAGAGGCAGCCACGTGAGCCCTGCGGAGCCGCTCGGCCCCAGCCCAGCCCTGCTCTGCTCTGCCCTCTCAGGGCTGCCCAGCCCTGCTCTGCCCCTCTGAGAGCTCCCCTGCTCTTTGTGAGATGCCTCTGGCGCAGAATTTTCCTCGTGGGAATGCCAGGGCTCTTTCAGCTCTGCTCTGATGACCTCATTTACTTCCCCCACCCACCCTGGGCCATAAGAGCAGGAGGGAGAAGGAGCTTGGCTTTCTGTTCACGTGCAGAGTTTTGCACCTTTGCTGGTCTGAACATGAGCTGTGGCTGAGCCCTGGCACCTCGTGCTGGGATCAGTTGGGTTTATCTGGGTCACTTTGCTTTCCCAAACCCTTGATCCGTCGGGAAAGGGGATGCAGTGGCTGGCAGGTATTTGCTGCTCAGCAGTGCTGGTCCCACCATGTTCACCTGTCACATTCTCCGGGTTCAGGCCGTGATTTCCACGCTCTCTTTGTCCATCTCCAGGTGTCCCCACCTGTCAGTTCTGCCCATCGTGCTCCCTGTGGGATTGTCCTGGACCCAGCATGCTCTGGGTGGCCTGGGGTGTTCCTCAGGGCCTTTCCCTTGGGATGAGAGTGGTTTGTGCTGGGGCAAAACTCAGCTGTGGTTCGTGGACTGAGCTTTGCAGTTGATCTGAAATTTGTCCTTCTAAGCAGCCCCAGAACTGCCTCTTGCTTGTGACTCTGATGCTGCTTCTGACTTGGACTGCAGGGAGGGAAGGGATGGGCCATCCAGGGGGACCAGAACAGGCTGCAGAGGTGGGGCAGAGTGAACCTCGTGAAGTCCAACAAGGCCAAGGGAAGGTGCTGCACCTGGGTCGGGGCAGTCCCAGCACAGACACAGGATGGGGCAGTGGGTGGGGAGAGCCCTGGGGAGAAGGGCTTGGGGCACTGATGGGTGAGAGGCTGGAAATGACCCATCCCAAAATCCCTCATGCCCTGGGCTGATCCCACAGTGGGGGCAGCAGGGGAGGGGGGAATTCTGCCCCCTCAGATGAGACCCCACAGCAGAGCTGCCTCCAGCCCTGGGCGCAACATAGAAAGTGCCAGAGCAGGGGGAATGGCTGCCAGAGGGCAGGGTTGGGTGGGATACTGGGAAGGAATTCTTGGCTGTAAGGATGGAGAGGCACTGGCACAGGTTGCCCAGAGAAGCTGTGGCTGCCCCTGGATCCCTGGAAGTGTCCGAGGCCAGGTTGGATGGGGCTTGGAGCAACCTGGGCTGGTGGGAGGTGTCCCTACCCATGGCAGGGCGTTGGGACTGGATGGGCTTTCAGGTCCCTTCCAACCCAAACCATCCTGGGATTCTGCAATTCTAACTCTGAGCTTCAACTTCTAAAACCAGCAGGGTGAAAGAAGGAAAGAAGGGGAACAGTCATAGAAATCAAGGGAAGAGATACTGAAGCGCAATTTAAAGAAATCAAAGTGATATTAAAAACTCTGCAAGAGGGGTGTGGGTTTGAGGTGTTGTTGCAGGTTCCCACAAGACCAGAAAATGAAAACAAAATATGGAAAAATAGTGTAAGCGCTGGAATCCCGTGATGTGCAGGGGGTTCCCATTTTTAGGCATTAATGAGGTTTGCAGTTGGCAGGAGGATCACCAGTTCCGTGGTGGAGGATTTGGGAAGGCTCCAACTATGCAATATCTGCCACCAGGGTTATTTTTAAAAGCCTCTTTGTTGCCAGCACTCCCCGGGGACCGGGCTCCGAGTGTGTTCCCTGGGAGGAGTTTTTCCAGCACGGGGGGGATCAGCTGGAGGACTTGGCTCCTTCTTTTCCTGCCATCCTTGTTTTCCTGCCATCTATTTCGTCCCTGCCCCTTTCTGGGTTTGCAGCTTTTGTTTGCTGCAGGGGAACTTTGCAGGGTGAGTTTGTGGTGATGCTGCTGACCTGAGCTCATCACGGGTTCACAGCCAGGACTTTGGGGTCAATGTCC